CCTCTCTGCCCAAGCCCGGCATCCTGGTTGCTCTGGCACCTCGGGGCACTGGCGGGTTCAGCTTGGACTACTGTCCCCGAAAATCCTCTGGAGAAAGCAATGGGCTGTTGCTCTTCATTAAATGAGGGATTTGCAGGGACAGAGCAGGAGCAGCCCAGGGCAAGGGCATCGCCGCTGCCACGGGTGTGCGCTTCGAGCCCCTTCCAGCCTTGGTTTGTTAAACCAAAACAGGCACGAGGGCAGCAGGGCTGCTGGGGATTTGAGTCTCCTTACAAGTAATTATCCCCACTCCAGGCTAAGGTTTCCCAGCTCCCCCTAATGAAGTGCAGGCATCCCCAGCCAGCGACGGGCTCGGAGGGGCTGGGAGCGGGGGGCAGCTACAGCCAGCGTCCTGGCCGAGCATCCTGGGTGCTTTGGGGGTCCAGGGACAAGGAAAATCCCTTTCTCTGTGGTTTGGTGTTCCCTTCTGTAAAATGAGGCCAGGCCTTTTTTGCCCATCGGCCGGGGAAGCTGTATGGCCTCTGCGACCCATCCCTTGATGTGCTTTGCCATCATCCCCTGCAGCCCTAAAGCATCCGCCTTTCTTCTAGCTGGGGGATCACGGATGTGAAGCAGCAATAACTTGCTACCTAGCAAATCTGTCACACCCGGTTCCCCATCCCCTCGGCGTGCCACGGAGCCGCGCTCACCCCCTGCCACCTTCCCGTTGCAGACCTGGACGAGTGCTCGGAGGGCAACGGCGGCTGCCAGCAGACCTGCGTCAACATGATGGGCAGCTACGAGTGCTTCTGCCGGGAGGGCTTCTTCCTCAGCGACAACCAGCACACCTGCATCCAGCGCCCCGAAGGTTAGTGCGCGGCGTCTCCCCACCCCAGGGCACCCTCCGTCCCCCTGCATTTATCAGGCAGGTCTGTCCCCCATCGCCCCTGGCCACCCCTGCATGATGCCTGGCTTTGGGTGCTGGTGCTGGTTCATGACCCTTCTCGGTGTTGCAAATTTAAAAGCGAATTTATTCTGAGCACATTGGGAGAGGATGCTGCGGGGCTAAGAAACATCTCCCTAACAAAACCCTCGCAGGCCCCTTGATCAAGCACACTAATACTGAACGGAGGATGTTAATCCTGTATCCAGAGCTTTTTATTAAATAAAAGGTACCCGGAGAGCCTCACACCACCCTGCAAGACTCGTCTTCTCCTGCCAGGTCTTGTGCAACACCGAGCCCTTCGTCTCGATATCAGCTCTAAATTGCTGCCGTCTGGAGCAATCTCTTAGCCAAAATAGGAGGAAATGAGAGATTTTTGCATCTCTGCTGATTTTTATCTCCCCTGCTTGGCAAAGCCGGCTGAGTGGTTTTGCTTTCCTCCTTCCCCCTTCCCAGCTGCGTTGGTCCCTCCAGCTCCCTGGGGAATCTCGCCCAGCCCAGGACGGCTCAGCAGCCGCGGTGGCATCTCCCGCATCCCCATCCCCCGTGTGTCCAGGAGGGACGAGCTGGCTGCTCCTTCCCCCCGGTGACGCGGTGGGTGGCCCCCGCTGGGGACAGGGATGCAGGTGCTGGGTTTTGAGCTGGTTTCTGAGTTGAACGGCCGCAGAGCGTTGTCGGCCCGGGGATGGCTGTGTCGCTTCTGCACCCTGAGATTGACTTTTGTAGCTGCTACGTGGTCCCCGAGCTCGGGCTCAGGAATGGCTGCTGAGGACAAGGGGTTGCAGCTGGTCCCCGGGCTGTGAGCCTGGAAAAAGCGGAGAGCTGAGGACGATTTGGGGTCCCATGTTAAAGCCTGTTCTGACTTTACTCCTGGCTCCTTGGGCACTGCCAAGGCAGAAGCATTCAGTATTAGAAAGCTAAACCTCAACGTTACGGCTGCTTCCTTCCTTCTGGGGTCCTTGCCAGCTCCTTGTCTCTCTTCTCCTACCCCGGCAGGAGCCTTTCTCCTTTCCCTCTGCTCTTTCTCTGTTTCTCAATCTCCCTCTTGCTTTCCTCTCTCCCTCCTGACGCAGAGGGGATGAAATGCTGCTGGGTCGGGAGACCTGGGGGATGGATCCCAGGACACCCCCCCTCCAACAGTACCGCGACCCTCTCCCTTGCACTGGCCAGTCCCTCCCAGTAAGGAGAGGCCAAGGGTTGGGGCTTGCTGGGGTGCCTTTAAACCCCATCATACTCAGCCTGACGATAACAGCGGAGCCACTGAAAGCAGAAGGGGTGAGCAGGGTCCTCACACGGTGCCAGTGCAAGAGCAGATGACGATGTTGCAGGGGGAGGAAGGATTAAAGGGGGTGCAAAGCTCAAGGGCTCCCTTCCCGGGCGGTGGCTGTAGGCACCGAGGGATTGCTGTGTCCCGGCATCGTGCAGTGGAGGAGGATGCCATGCCCGGGTGGAATCGCCTGGGGAGTCTTAAGAAAGCAGCGTGCGGCCATCCTGGCCTGGAGGGGAGCCAGGGCACACGGACACCGGAGCTTGCGTCTCTGCTGGGACGTGCCAGGGGATCTCTGCAGCCTGCCGGACGTTGGGATCTGGCTTCTCTGGAAGGTGGCAGCTCCGGGGGAGCAGTGGCGCAGCAGGGGTGCGGCCTCTGTGTCCACCGTGGTGCAGCAGGGCAGGGCCAGCTTCAGAGGTCTCTGTGTCCACCGTGGTGCCTGGGATGCGGCGGAGATGCTGCCAGGTAGTAAAGAGCAGCAATAAAAAAGAGGGAGAGAGAAAAGCCGCTGTTTGGAGAGGCTGAGAGCACTTGGCTGTCCCCAGCATCCCTGCGGCATTGCGTGCCCCGGGGGGTCCCAGGGCAGGGCTGGGCGGAGCGCAGGAGCTTGCAGCAGCATCCCGGCCCCGGGGCAGGCTGGAGGGTGCCGGGGGGGACGGAGCGGGGCTCCCCGCAGGATGGGGGTTCCCAGCCCTAGCACAGAGGCCAGGGAATGGAGGGCTGGTGTGGTTAGAGGCTCCTGGAGCGAAGCCAGGTGGGATCTGCCGGGCAGGTGATGGGGAGCAGCCTGGGACACCCACAGGCTCCAGCCTGTGGTTTTTAACCCTTCCCATGCATGCTCGGTGCACCTCAGCATCCTCCTTCGAGGTGGCCCTGACCCCATAAGGACCTTCCCTCACCCTCCTGCCCCAGGCTCTTGGCAGCCCGCGGGCTTGCAGCTCTGTCCGGTCTCCCGTCCTGACGCTGGCATCGCTCACCCTGCGGTGGGCTCGGCACCAGGTGCCTGGAAAGGAGCCGACCCCCTCCCTCTGCCAGAAAAAGGCCCTGAGGAAGGAGTTGCATTTCCTAGAGGGCCATCCCTG